GTAGTTTATGACAAACAGAGAATAGCTTCAGCCCTGCAGGATTTCCATCACTGTTAACACAGTTAGCTTTGTGTCACTGTGTTGTTCACTCTCCCTGTTTGGAAGCACATGGATAAATAAGGGGGGGGGGATTCTCCCTGTCTGTCACTGATTCATTTCTACAATACCCATGAATAAGATGAGCAGGACACACTTCTCTTGTCTAGTCTTTTTGTTTAAGAGAGATTGCATCAAAGTGAAATGGAGCTGTGTGCGAATTGCAGCAGTGGACAGAGAGCAGTTTTCATGAGTCTGTGATGGATCATATTTATTTTGTTATATTTTATTTTATTATTATTATTATTATTTTAGAGTTTTCTGACCAAGAGCGACTTTATTTCATCCAGTCTTGATATTGCAGTAGCTAATGTGGAAATGCTAAAATCCCCATTGGAGAATATCCAGAGTATTGGAGTGAACTGTGGCTTTCTTTTGTGAACAGTATTAATAATTTGAAGATAATTTGAAGTGAAATCATTATCTAGGCAAAAAGCGTCCAAGACCTCCAGGCGCCCTGGAAGCTCTGGGCTTACTTTGTCAGTGTCAAATGTTGTTAATTGAAATTTTCTTTGGGAATATGCTTCGTTAAAGCACAATATCTAATGACTGTGGTTAATGATTGGATTTACTTTCCTAACAGTAACATACATGGACCTTCAGGTGGGTCCTGCTTTGTTGCTTTATCTTGGGACCCTGTCTTGAAGACAGTCCCTGTGTCAAGATGTAGTTTAATAGCCTTACCTGTATAGCAAATACTACACTCATTTATTTCATTTTATATTTTTGGTAAATATTGCTACACTGATGACACTCAGCTATACCTCCCATTCGAACCTGTAATGATAATGTTATTAATAATTCAGTTAGCTCTCTCCTTCACTGCCTTGACAGGGTGTGAAATATTGGATGGCAAATAACTGTCTTCAGTGAAACGATAGTAACACTGAAGTGGTCTTGTTTGGTCCCCCTGACTCCACCAGGGGTGTAACACATCTCTTAGGCCCCTCACCTCCATGCTCAGGGTAAAAATCTTGGTGTCATCTTCGATTCAGGTCTAAAATTCGACAAACAAATAAACACCATTGTGATAGGTTGCTATTTGCAGCTAAGAAACATCACCAAACTCAAACCATTCCTCTCTTTCAATGATCTGACGGTTGTCATAAACGCCTTCATTTCCTCCCGGCTGGAAGACTGCAATGCCCTCTATTTGGGCGTTACCCAGTCCACCTTGTCTCAACTACAGCACTAACCCATACTTGCATCCCTGCACTGGTTACCAGTCAAATACTGTATTGAGTTTAAGGTTCTTTTATTTGTTTTCAAACGTGTTATGTGTAAGATCGTGCTACTTGCTCCACCTCCATAGGGGGCAGCATTTCACCTCTTCGCCCCTGTTCAGTTAATCATGTTGCTGAAATTGTTGATAGCACTTAAACTAATTATGAATACTTGTAAGTTTTAATTTACCTATAAAAATATGAAGACAAGGGGATACTGCATGACACATGGGTGTCAGGCTACAGCAGCATGAGGAAGGGATGATGACATCATCACAAAGGCAGAATCAGAAAATTAGATTTATTACCAGGTAGGTTTTTACTTACAAGGTATTTGGCTTGGTGTTTCCAATAAACATATTAACATGAAATAACAATAAAAAGGTAAAATACTGAAACATTCAAAAAGATAAATATATGTAGATACACATTAAAAAATTAAAACAATGAAAAAGATACTACACAAAAATACTATAACTATGTATTAAAGTGTTTTAGAAAGACAAAACTCCTGCTGAGCAGGATGTGCAAAAGATCACAGTATAGACAATATGTGTTCTGTGCAGGGATAATACTCTGAGGTGTTACTGTAATGTGGTTGTTGATGGTTGATGAGGCCAGACCCAGAAGAAAAGGCAGGTGCTGGTCCATCACTGGGGAGGACTGGACTGGAATTCTGGTCCTGATACAGACAAACATGTGAGAGGACAATTAGTTTAGATCATACAAGTTCTTTATATTCATGTTAGGTCTGTTGTGTGTGTATGATAAATAGTGAGGATAGATATGAATATGCTAAAATGAATACAGTATGAATATTGACATGAATATGCCGAGATATACACAATGTGAACACTAGTAACAGTATGAATATTATGAAATGTAAATGCAAAGAAACGAAGAGTAAACAACTAGATGTATGATAAGAATTCACTGTTATATAGTGTGTATATAACCAATAAACAATACAGAGTGGTACTGATATGGATATACTGTGAAATACATAACAAATATAGGCAGTTGTATAATATTCATTATTATGAATCAGCAGTATGAACATGTATACACTGTGGCTCTGACATAATCACAGTGGGATAGACAAGTGGTGCAGAGTGGAGCAGGGGGACAGCTGAGGGGAAGAAGCAGAGGATCAGATCAGTCTCTTTGTCTGACTTGTAAAGGTGAATGAGTTTTACCCACCTAGACCCTCCACACTGTGTCTGTTCACTCTCTGCCATTGGTGTTGGTGGAACAGGTGGAGGCGGTGTCTGTACAGGCTCAGGTCCTGATAAAGACTGAGGTATGCTGAAATCTCCTCAGAAATGCTGCCTGATCTCGTAACAGTAATGTAAAGCTGTTAAAACATGGTGAACCAATCGATGTGTATACACTCAGTCTACTGGATCCATACAATCTCAACGTACAGTCATCAGTTATAAAATAAGCCTAAAGTTAGTGACACAACTAGCTGGCCAACAGTCGGCAGAAAAAAGGCCCAATTCTACTGAACCGCTAAAACATCTGTCAACATCATCAATATCATACATTTATGCAACTTGAAAGGTTTGTCAGTACGACTTGTATACTTTTGCTAAAGAGCCAACATTAGATGTTACTCACCAGTCTAAAAGAAAAGTTGCAAGTTCGGCATCAAACCGCATCTCTTTACTCAAGAGCTGTCTCCAGCGATGGGAAGCCAAACCGAGATTTACTCATGTTTTCTTCTTTTCTTTGCCGTTGAACATGGATTCTTGTCGGGAACGGTCCTTTGGGATGGAGATAAAGATCGCTTTCTAGGAGCTTCAATCATCTCTTTGTTTCTGTGATGCTAGTCAGGAGCTGTAACTTCAAGCTAGACGTTATGCTGACTCAAACAGCATCTAGTGTCACAAAGTGGTATTGCAACACGGGACAGGTCGGGGCTAGCTGGTTAGCATGCTAATTTCAGTAGATGTCTCAGAAATTCAATAGATGGAGGTCTCGGTCATGACATCATTACTGTGGCTCCTTCACACACTGTTGATAATGTTAGTTCATTTTTTGAACATTTTAAACTAAAATTCTGGCCAGATCTTACACATGGCCCCTTTGAGGCGTTTCACATTCTAGCACCTGAGTACAGCTCCTCCGCCCCCTTTCCATCCCAGATCCCTCAGATCTTCTGACCATCTGCTCCTGGATGTCCCTTGGGCGAGGCTAGGGGAAAAGGTGATAAGAATTTTGTGGTAGTTCCCACAAAACAGTTCTTTTAATTAAGTGTTCCCCCTCCATGGACATATCTAAGACTAATCTTAAAATCCACGTGTTTTCTTTGGCTTTTGAGTGTCCCGAAGATTTTATCTTTCACTTTTATCGCCTGTGTTTTTATTTCAAACTCTTCCCTGTCAGTCTCAGACTATGGGATAGTTAAGACTTATTATGTTGTGTGGTTTTCGCTGTATATTATTGTATACCATCCGGTCAACTCTGGTTGTTTTAAATGTGCTCTATAAATAAACTTGATTTTTATGGCTTTGAACATGCCCACAAGACAGAATAAAGATTAATGTATAATTAGGCTTGGGTGATATCCAAAATTCAATTTAATATAAAATTTAATATCTTAATACAGTCCAGCCATAATATATAGTATTATCCAGCCCATAATATATAATATTGTCACTATTAATTATCATCAATTACGATATAATTATATTGTTTTGTTGTTGTTGTTTGTTTTTATGTTTCAGACAAAATAAAAATGAATGTATATTTAGGCTTGGGTGATAAACAAAATTTGATTTGATTTCAAAATGTAATATCTTGATACAGTCCAGCCATAATATATAGTATTATCACTAATAATTGTTATCAATCATAGTATAATTATTTTGTTTTAATGTTTGAGTTGTTTAATATGTAATTATATTATTGTATTATATGTTTCAGGTATTTTTTTATAATATATAATTATATTATTGTATTTCTTTATAATATACTGTATATTAAACCCCATTTAAACATAATTAACACTGCAGGTGTGGACTGGAAATGAAATGTTTACTGTGATCTTTGGTAATTTAACTCACCAGTGTTTTAACCACTCAGTCAGACATGAAACATGATATTGTTCAGTGTGACTTACACTACTGATGTCCATTGCAGATAAACATCCATAAATCTGCTTAGAAATTCTATTAAAAAAAAAGAGTGCAGAACATCTTTCAGAATCCTCCTGTTTTACACTTTTCTTCAGTACCACAGTGATACTTGTCTGTACATCCATGGTTACACTGAAAACATGTTACAAAATAAGAACAGAATTTGTTTTTATTAGGTCCCTTCAAGTAATCGACAACATGTCTTATGTTCTGCTAATTTTCTCTTCATGATAAAACCTGTTTGCTGTGGAATTAATGATATCAATAATTACTGTAAGTGTTCAGTGGTCAGATTGTGGTTCTGTTGGATTTATATAAATTTTCCATCATCAATGAGTAGCTTATTGATCATTATCCCACAGTTATTTGAAAGTCTTTTCTCAAAAGTAGCGTAACGTTCTGAAACGTCAGGAATGAACTGATGAACATTATGAAAACTTTCCCTCAATGACCTCATGAACATTGTCTTTATTAAGACTTGTACTCTATGGTATTCATGCACACTCTGACTGTAACATTTATCTCTGTTGTTTGCCTGCAGTGGTGATCATGTGCATGGGAGCAGACAAGATACGAGAGATCATGCTGGCTGCTCACAGACGACGGCTGACCAACGGCAGCTACATGTTCTTTAATGTTGAACTCTTTAACGCCTCTTCTTATGGTAAAGTTAACGTCACATACTAATGATGAAAACAAACATTTTCCGCAGTGTTAATGGATGCATAAGCTTCAAATGATCTACAGTGCAGTCCATAAATATTTGGACACTGACACAGTGACAGTGACAGTACTCTGTGAGAATGTGAAAATGACAAACTGTGACCTGTGCCGTCTGTGACATTAGATTTGAAATGTAATAATGACTGAATCTGAAGTGTTCACTTTCTGATATTGGGTAAAAATATTGGAACTGTAGTCATGTCATTTTGTTTAAGTTAAAAGCTCTTTCTCTCAGGACACAGGTGGAGACAAGACTCCAAGTAAAAATGATAAAAAATAAAGTGAAAATATGGCTCTTCCTCTGCTAGAAGCAGAACTAGGCAAAATGTTCTTGGGCCCACTTACCCCGCAACCTGTGGCTGTGGATACGGCCATCACAGGCCTTGAACATGACACTGAATGTAATTTGTGTGCTAGAGAATCGTAATGAATGTAATTACAAGGTAAACTGGGCAGGAATTTGTCTTCTTTAAACAGCTTCCTCTGGGTTTGTGAAATGTTTTTCTTTTCCTTTGTCATTGTGTTTTATTACATTTTCTTTTCATTTCCTCCCAGAGGCCTCTGTTCTGTGAACACTGCACTACAGCCACTTACTTAGCACAGCACTTTAGTGTCAGTTTGTCTGAAACTGATTCTGATCAAACAATAATCTTTGTCAGTTACATTTACACCCTGCTCTGTCACTCTTCAATTACCCTCCAGGTAACGGCTCCTGGAGGAGAGGAGATAAATATGACAGTGATGCGAGGCAGGCCTATGCTTCTCTGAACACGGTGACGCTGCTCCGGACAGTCAAGCCCGAGTTTGAAAACTTCTCCATGGAAATGAAAAAGTCCACCGAAGAAACCGGACTTCATGACTGCAGAGACTGTGGGAGTGTACGTATGTGTGTGTGTCTGTCTCGCACTGAAACAAACTGATGCTGTTGAGTCAGGTGGTATTGGTCTGTTTTTATAATTGCCAAATCAAAGAGCACATTTATATACGTATACCAGCCACTCTGTGATTTGCCAACGATAAAAAAAAAAAGACTAATAACACTGAAATGTGCAAGCTTCCAAAAGTTGTTATTAATATGATATTTTAATTACAAATAAACAGTTAATCGAAATATTATCAAGATCGCAATACGGCCAACTGCAATATCCAAATCACAGGAGCTTTTTTTGATGAAGGTAAAATGTGTCACAACAACAGACCATAAATAAAGCGTTGTGGTGCTACAGAGACGCCCCGGCCTAAAAATCATATTCTCCAGATGAGAACATGATTGTTTGGTACAAGACCCAACAAAGATCACATCATCATCATTTGTATTTATTTATTTTTTCTGTGAAATTCACACTGAAATCATATCACAGTATCTGTCAAAAATAATCACAGTGTAATTTTTTTTGCACATCAGTCAGCCCTAATTTTAATATATACAGAAAAAAAGTGACAGCTCCACCTCCAATCAGGAATCACAGGATACAAAATAACAGCACTGCCAATTTACTATGTACAGAGGAAACAGTGTTGACTTCCTTGTTTAAACCATGAGGCGACAGCGTTTCATGTGTAAATCCAAAATGTTACAGCACCTCATACACATGTTCCACAGCTGCAGTGTAGGCTTCACTGTAGCTGACCTGCCCCTCCTCAGAGATGTAACTGCATGTTGGAGCTGCAGAGATAAAACATGGGGAGAGCTGTGATTGGTCAGAGTGGGCTGCGTGTGAACATTTGGCCTGATGACAGTGCTGAAGAAAAAGTGTGGTGATTATTAGGATTCATCCTCTGGGGATCATAAATGTCGGATGTAGATGTGTTTCATTTGATAAGTACATTTTCTAATCTGATGAAGGTGCAGGATGAAAGGTCAGTGGATCACCACAATCAGTAGGCCTGATCCTCTGGTTGCCATGAATGTCATGAAGTTGTTGAGATATTTCAGTCTGGCATTGCTATCCATGTAGCCACACTGCTAGCATGGCTAAAAAGGGGGTTAGGGTCATAGAGATGCCATGGGAGGGTGTGAGGGAGGAAATGGTGGGAGGAAATGAATTCCCCAGAGGATACATGTCTGCAGGTCTGGGCAATACACACACCTTTTATATCTCAACAGTGCACTGTGCAGGTCCCTCTTCTAAATCTATGATACCCAGAAAATAAATGCTGTTTTCTGGCTTTAGGGCAAGACAAAGATTCCCTGAACTGTTCCTCTCTCCAAAGCAGCCGGTCCTTTTCCCCAGTAACTACATCAGTGTCTCTGTATTAAAGGTGTCCTTCCTCTGTGACCTCTTTAGGTTTGTGTTGACAATATTCCCTTCGCCGTGGCAGTTGTGAGTCACCTCAGTCAGCTCAGTCGACACTGTTCTGGTTTGGAGGGGCTCAACAAACCTCTGTCAAGAACTGTTAAGAACAGATGATTTCTGGTTGTTTTTTTTTTTTGTTTTTTTTAAATATGACAAACCTTTGTTGCCTCTAGCTTTTAAAAAGTCACTATGGCTGATCTCATAGCAGAGCTGCTGTCATTAAGCTGTGTTTGTGTTCATTTTATCGGATAATGTCATCATCGTTTAAATGTATTAATGAAACCATCAGGTTTGTTCATTTGGCTGCATTAAGACACAGTTTGGGTGATTCACAAAGAGCTTTTCTCCTTCTCCATCCATTCATCCATCCATATGCACTCATGGTCACATGGTGGCTGGAGGCAGCTGACATTGGGCGAGAGGCAGCGTACATCCTGGGCAGGCCACCAATCACAGGCCTGCTGTTCTCCTGCTCTCTCCCTCTCATTAATTACATACAAGAGAAACACGTTCTGCTGCGTCAGAAACAAATAAAATGCATCAACAACTAACAATTCAGTTGCCAATAAAGACCGTCATCGATCAACATTCACAAGTGAACGTTTAAGAGATGTGAGCTTTAATATGAGCTCTAATAATTCAAATAATAACATTGAAATAATCATAGCCTGGCAAAGTCCAAACCTTCCCAGGTGACTGTTCCAGGCAGCTCCGTGCTGATTGCGACACAGGACTCGGACATACTGGATGGTGATGATGCTTTGACATTGAGCCAGTCTTCACATCAAGGTGCACGACTGCCAAACTCTGAAATGTTGTGTGTGTTACCTTCTGTTATCCCACTTGTCCGCTGAGCAAAGAATGACATAACTGAGTCGATAGATTGTTTCCCATGTCTTTTCGGTGGCGTTCATACTCATACTCGTACTTGTCCCACGGTCCTTGAGCATGACATTGATGTTGAAAAGGCCAAGATCGTTTCATAACTGACTTTCACAAAGTAAATGCTGTTACAGTCCCCGATCCCTATCCTCTGCTGCGGTTGGATGACTGCATCGATAACTTGGGTGCAGCCAGATACGTCAGCAAGTTGTACCGCCGCTAACTGACCGCACCTGCAAAATTTCTGCCTTCTTTACAACAGACCAACAGCCCTTTGAGCAGCACACAGGCGTTCTCGAGTCACTGTGAGTGACATGTTTTTAGGAGACGTGTGTCTGAGCTGGTGGAGCGTACTACATCAGTGGCAATTTCCACAGCAACCTCCGCCTTATCATCCACCTCAGCTTCCTCTGCAAAACCTTGCATCAACACAGTATCAGACAAAAAACTAATTTAGTCTTGGAGGGGCCAAGAAAATTAGGTGGGTAAGCCCTGCCCTGTTGACCCCCACCAACAATGCCAGGCCAGGTGTGTGTTCCTGTATTTAAGTCATCACTTTTCCAGAGCAACCTCTGAAGACATTGTTACTGTGCATCAGTGTCAGCTGCAGTACAATCACCTTCTCCTTATAACTTCATTCTCCATTTCAGGTCAACATGTTTGTTGAGGGGTTCCACGATGCCATGATGCTGTACTCCATCGCCTTGCATGAAGCCATGAAGAGCGGGTACAGTAAGAAGAATGGAACGGCGATCACCTCACGCATGTGGAACAGAACATTTGAAGGTAAAAACGATGCAGGCCAAAGCTTATAAGAGTTACTCCTAAGAAGACAGCGGCATGTTTGCTGCATCAAGCTTCCGGTTTTCCTTTAAAGCCGTCTTTAGCCGTTTATTCTGCTGATGTGTATTCGTAGGATAAAACATCGATGCAGCCAGTGTCGTGATTGAAAAGTTTAATACCTACTGAGATATGGATCAGATATGAAGAACCATACTGCTGTCACTCAGTTTAAAATAGAAGTTCCTGTTGCGCATGCGCCTTTAAAACAAGAACTCACTGTTGTGCTGTTCTGCTTCCTGTTGATCGAAATATATAAGACTTTATTTTTAATTAACAAGTTACTGATGAACATGAATATAACATTTCCCTAATTACACTAAAAGCAACGGAGAAGAAACAGACAAGACTGGACTCACTGGAGAAGCTTTCCATGTGTTTGAATGTTCAGTGAAGTTAAATAAAAAGCAGCAAAATAAAAGAAACAGTATAGACTATAAAGCTTTATACTGTAAAAGATAGAGCTCTTGGTTGCACTTTAAGGTTAATAAGTTGACCGTCATTGGAGGGGGGTTAAGTCACCAGCAGCATGAGTCAAACTGAGACAGGCTAGTTTACACTGCTGCACGTTTTCCCTGCAACGTACTAAAATGGTTTCATCTCGTCGTGAATCTTTAGTGTAAACTGGCTTTAACAGCTACAGTCATTCTGAGCAACCACAACGCATTTGGCTAACAGTCCTATAACTGTGGCAGTGTTGAGGCTGCTAACTTTAACCTTCCTCTCCTCTCCTCTGCTTTTGACTAACCCCCTCTCTATGGCAGCTTTTATGCCTTTAGGTTTATAGAAGTGAAATAAATGGCGGAGCTTTCCTGCACTGTGTTTGTTGAACTGTTACAGGCAGAACTGCCCTGTCCAGTAATTGCGGCAATGTGGCCAGTGCCCTGCGTTTATGCGATTAAAACTGACGTCAAAAGCGAAACAAGAATCAAACTATGAAAATGCACATGGACCTACATATTATCATAAATATAAAACTGAAAGGCAACTACTTGCATCACATCCCAGATAATCCAGGCATGGAGCACCTCCGTGAAAATCCCAACCATCGCTCTGACCCCCGACCCCCGACCCAACCGGTCCGATTCTAACTGGATCCTTTTGAAAATAGCGGGTATCGTCCCTTGTCTTAAAAGCGCATGCGCAAATTCAGACACGCTATACTTTAAGATTAAAATTTACTTTGTTATTTTAGGTTTATGTGCAATGACTATAAAACATTTAAATGTAATGAGTAAATCCATAATAAAACGTACTCTTCCCACAGAGTTCATTTATTATATAAATAAAATGTATTAAAATTTTTACTTAATAAATTCTCGTTCTCACTGAATCTTAATATTACGTTGTAAAAACTATGATGGTTAATCTCGTACATTTTACTCGTTTGTCAGTGTCTGAACGAGACATAGCACTGGCGTAAGAGTAAGACCAGGGATTTCATTGTTTGCTGCTAGTGAAGACAACAAGGTCATCAACACTAATTAATTACAATTACAATTCATTATCCGTGTTCCATTCACCACTGGTAGTCAAGTCTGAAAAGGGTCACATGACAGAAGCATGATGAATCAGGGAAGGATCCATCTTAACTGATCATGAGGCAATCAGGAAGTGAACATGGGTGTCTATGTCATCAGCCATTTCTCAATACAGAGTTTGCCAAATTTGGACCCCTGTACTTGGGAGTTTGAACTTCACAGGTTCAACTCAGAAGTCCAGGCTGCCGAGGACAGGGAGACGCAATTGGAACAGCAGTGTTCTTCCTAATATTAGCAGCTTAGCTCGGCACAGGTTACACTTCAACACACCTGTACCTGACTGTACTGTGACACATTAATCTAAACACAAATCACCACAAACAGATGGAAAAACGCAGAGTGTTGTAAAATAGACATTTCATATCCCATCTGTAATGTATATTAAAAATCTAATGAAATTTGATATGAAGCACACTGCATCTGTTCATTTCTTTAATTTATTTTCATTGAGATGTGGTGGTATATTTGTACACAGAAGCTCACAGAGGCAGCGCTGTTGTTAAACTGTTAAAACAAATCACATATTTTCAGCTTCATCTGCATCGAGGGCTGCAGAGATAACGCTTTTTCTACCAGGACGAGATGCCGGTATTGTTTGTTGATCTCACCCGGTAGGACGGTCCTCACATCTCCGAAAACGCCTGAGCAAATTCCCAAACAGGCGTTACTTGGATAAACTGACACATATTTGAAGTTAAAACTTAATGAATGATACAATAACAGACTTAGGGTGAAAACTGTTTCGCCTTTGAGCCTGACTCAGAATCTCTGCCTCTGTCGCTATTTGGTGCGAAATGCATTCTGGGATACTTAGCTGTCCCAAGTCCACACAAGTCCCGTACTGATGCATCCTTGATAAAAATGGGCGGAGGGGGAGAACACGTCCTGATATTTGATCTGTGCTTGGGTAGATGTTGACTTTGAATTGGAGCAGTACTTGGGCTGAGACTGATGACGTTTCACAAGAACACAAATACAGAGAAGAACGCAGATTGAGAAACGGCAAAAGTCTAATCTGTTTCTGTTCATCCAAACTAAAACACAACCCTGGAGTTTTCCAACTAAAACTGGGTCAAGAGTGTTTCCAAAAGTCTCGCTGTATAATAATAAAGACTGTGGCCTTTGTAAAGGTTGGTTTCATGGCTGGACAGATGCATTAGATTTTACAGGCATACTCGGTAAACCACTACTTCTTTATGTGTGAAACTAATTACAACAAAGCTCAATTTTAAACTCAGCCTGTAATCTGACAGTTGTTTCACTTTTGAGACAATAAGTTAGAAGAATAAGGAAGAAAAATCAACGTAATTAAAAAAGAAAAATTTTATTTAAAATGTAAAAAAATAAGATTAGTAACTCCCATATTTATATCAACATAACAAAACGCTCCATTCAGTTAAAAATACAAATATTCTTGCCGCTCTCGGTTTAAAATAAGAGCCTCCACTGAATGAATATAGACATAAAGCACACCTGCAGGGCTATACTGTGTGAAAAGTGTCTCCTTCAGTTCATTAAATCCCTGCAGCACCTGAAGGCAGCAGGACTGATGTAGTTAAATCCACAGCCTCTGTTCACTGTTTACCTTCATTAAATCACCTGACAACGACACCAGGCTGTGGTGCAACCACACACACCTCTGCACCCATGAGACGAGTCAGCAGCAAAGCTCAGGTCAGGGTTTTTGATACCCACACCCAGCTGACCCACAAACCGCTGACTTTTAGCTCTGTCTCTCTTTCTCTCTCCCTCTCTGGTTCGTGGTCAGAATCAGCTGTTACAAAATTTATATAGCACATGATTCACCTTTTATTTATTATTATTCCTATTAATAAAAATATAAATCATAAGAATAAGAAAAAAGAAGAAAAGAAGCTGCTGTGCATCTTTCAGCACCACAGAGCTAGAGAGAGAGAGAGAGAGAAAGAGAGAGAGAGAGAGTAGGAAGAGTGGACTAGTAATAACAGTTTAGCCTATAGAAGGCAAAGTTTCCTTAAATTATTTTGAACTTTGCTTATAACTAATCTAGCTTACCTGAATGTACTGACCCTCAGGTCGACCCATGAATCACTACTGGTTATAGCTGGATATCCTCTACGTTATTGGGAGTGTAGCTGAATGATGTTCTAATTGTTTTCATGATGGCGGACAGGAATCGCAGGCCAGGTGTCCATGGATGATAACGGGGACAGGAACGGAGATTTCTCTTTGATGTCCATGACCAATGTTGAGGAGGGAACCTATGAGGTAAGAGGAATCAAAAGTCCATGTACCGCCCCCGAGGTGCTGACATCCTCATCTGAATGATAACATGTTACATTAATCCACAGGTGGTGGCCAACTACTTTGGAGTAAATGGAACTTTCCAGCTGCTGCCAGCCTTTAACACCGACCACTTCACTCTCAAAGGAAGACATAAAGCACACGCTGAGACGCCAGACAAATCATGTAAGTGTTCACTACTGTTCAGCTATCTACACCTACAGTACGTTAAGTGGGATGACTCCATGTTTTAACCAGTAACTGTTCTAAACAGGTGGGCTGGGAGTGTCAGCTCTGACTGGAGTCATAGTGGGAGCTGTTCTGGGAACTGCGATGCTTATAGCGTTCTACTTTTTCAGGTAACTATAGGGGATGTTTATCATCTCTTTTATACTTATACTGTCATGTTCAAGTACTGTCACTGAAACACATCCACCTCCCCTCCAACTCACTGGCTGAGAGACTGTGTATTATGTCTCCAGTCAGGCATCATGTTTTCAGGTTGTCCATCTCATTCTCATGAACATGAAATCTCAGTAACACCTTGAGGGAACTTCTTCAGATTTGGCACAAACATTCACTGGGACTCAAGGATGAACTGATTAGAATTTGGTGGTCAAAGGTCAAGGTCACTGTGACCTCGCAAAACAAGTTTTTGGCCGTAACTCACAAATCTATACGCAAATAATGACACAATTTAACTCAAATGTCTATAAGGATAAAATATAGTGATGACATTTTATATCCAAAAGGTCAAAGGTCATATCACTGTGATATCATAATATTCTGCAAAAACAAACACAGATTGTGACCATATTTCCTCAAGCTTGTCTGATTGGTGGAGGCATCCAACCACGAAGAGGCGATTCTAGTCAAGGCCTTGACTCAGGTCTTTTGGTTTTAATCACCAACCTCACAGCTGAGAAAGTCAGACAGTCACACAGGCTGGAAACAGGCCTTCAGTTGAACCAAACTGCCTGAACCTTTCATTTCAAAATGATAGAAAAAGTGAGCACGACCAAATGTCATATAGTTTTGTATTGCATTGAAAAAACTGTGCACACAGTAATTTTCATGTAAGTGCAGAACATGTACTGTCGGTTGAAGCTGAAAAAGAGAAGCACAGTTTAGATAATACTTTAAATTTTCCCACCAAATCAATAATAACACTCACCAACAGCTGTCTCCAGAGGTGGAAAGAAACACCAATGTTTACTCTTGTCTCTATCACGTATTTTCTTCTACTGAGTTTAGCATGGTAACCAGCTAGCCTCGGTCTGTCTCATCACTTTCTGAAAGCAACTCACTGTAGCCTCCAATCAAGTGGCGTAGTCTTCTGGAATTAATTGGTTGCTTTTGGTGCAGTTCTCACCTGGGAAGTGATTCACCTGGCAGCCTAAAGATGCTCTTTAATTTAATAGTTATATCATATATCATCACCAATTAACATTTTACCTTTCCCCATTTTAACTGACTTACTTTGTAATGACTTTTCAGTAACAGATATTAGTGACCGTTCACCTGCTGATATGCTGCAGTCAGTGTAGTGTCTCATCTCCATTTCTGTTACTGCTAGAGTTTATTGCTGCTCTGTCTAAACACAGTTAATGTTGTTTTCTTCATCACAGTGTCTAACTACCTGCTGTACATTTAAATTCACACTAGTTCTGCTCCAGCTGCTTCATCAATTCATCAGTTGTTTACATGCTATTCAGATCTGCTAGTTACTTTAGCTTAGCAGTTAGCACTGGCTTCTCTCTCTCTCTCTCTCTCTCTCTCTCTCTCTCTCTCTCTCTCTCTCTCTCTCAGTGTGTGTTGAATCAACAGATGAACTTGATCATCAGAGTGTGGTGTTGTAACTTCAGTGTAGAGGATTGTGATGTCTGCTGTCTTACCTTTGACACACGGCTCTGCTCGTTAAAGGGATAGTTCAGGTTATTTGAGGTGGGGTTGTGTGAGGTACTCATGAATATTCATCACATCAACCACAGTAGATTCTGTTCAGTGCGCTCCCTGTTAGGAAAGCCGACTGTGAGCACCTGGCAGAGCTATGTGTTGCTGTGCAGGGGACCACGAGAAAAAATGTGTTTTAGAGCCGTTTAAAAACACCCACTGAAACAATCCAATATCCGTTTACATGGAGCTTCATGTAGAATAATTTCAGCGGTTTACCCTCCTGTGAAAACAGCACTTTCCTTTGGAACTACATTTTTCAACCGCTGAACTACCGTATTCCTACGCACAAGTGCACCTACAGAGTACACTGTATTAGTTTTAAAAAAAGCCCTTTAATGACTAAGATTATATGATAACCGGTGAACACTACAAAAAAAGACGAGGTTGAAAAACAAGATCCAAGAGGAGTTGAATCAAGGGCAACTGTTTCATCTTCAGTTCAACCTCTGTTGGATAAGCACGACCTAGATGACGGAGAATCCTCACTGACATCTTTCATGTTGTTCATCCCTCTGCAGAAAAAACTACAGGATCACCATCGAGCGTCGTGCACATAGTGAAGAGGGCGACACCCGGAAGCACCGTCAGTTACGAGAGGACTCCATCAGATCAAACTTCTCGGCAGCGTAACCAGCAGCAAGCCCCCCCTCCCTCCCTCCCTCCCTCCCTCCCCCCCCTCACAGAGAATCACACATCTGAATGTGACCAAAGACTGATTTTGTGTTTGTATCCTTCAGTGTTTTGATTTATTGTAACTCAGGACAGTTGTAACAGTCACAAAGCACCACTTGTGTTCCTTGATGTTCCTCCATACAAACGTATATGATTGTATTGGTGTATAGAAAGCTTTGGCCATAATATTCTTGAAGGAGTTTTAAAGAATTTATTTTAAATATTCAGACAGGGGTTACATGACTGTGAATGATTCAGAACAGTGTATGTAACACTACATTATCATGCACTAGCAGGGTGGGCAAGGTCTGCTGTACTTTTGCCTTTCAGGTTGACAAATAGAGGCCTCGTGTTTGAGGGTAGTGAACGATAATGGCAGAGCAAAACTTGACACATCTGGAGTTAACTGACTAAAAAGGGATATAGGCTAGATCTATATCTATATGTATAGGCTATAAGCTACTGATATTAAGCTACTGATATGTTTTCAGATCACCAAAACCTTGTTGAGATCCAGCAGCCTCCATACAAATCAAATCCCTTATGAAGTAGTGTGAGAAACACTGGGTCACATAGCATCTCCTCTACACCTTCACACTGGCTCATTTACAGGGTTTCCCTTTTAAAGTTGGCATACTTTATAAAGTTTGCTTTATAACGGTTAATAGATTCTTCACTAATAATTCATAGATCAGTAATAAGAACAACCTGAGATGTGTTTTGGTTATTTTTGCTTAATGGCAAATCATCCTCCAAATGAACTAAAGGAAATCTACGATTTATAACAATCTTTTTTTTAATCTTCTTTTTTTTTTTGTACCCGTGGCCTTTAGTTCTGTCAGTTATGATCATCCCACCTGTCTGATCTGTACGTAGCAAAATAACTGTGTCCTGAGGTATTACCGATTACTGTGGTGAGTACAATCAAACACCTTGTATTTGCTACTTTAAGTTGTTTGACTCCTCCTTTATAACATCTCCGGTACAGAGTCGTCATAACTGATTGAACCAACGGCCAGACCTACAAGAATAGTAGTAACAATACACACAGATGATGTCTTGAAAAACATACACCACTGGTCAAAGGTTTTCAAACACCTCAATTTTTCCAGCTGTGAATTTTATATAATTCAGTGTCTATGGTTTAATTCTGAAATTAAACCATAGAAAAAATAAACAAGTAGAGATTTTAAAACAAGGAATCATAGAAATTTCTTGTGAAACTAAAAGTTCTTTCTACAATGGAAATCAAGTATTGCTCAGAAAGGTGATCAAACACTGCCGCAGAAGTTCCCACTAATGTGTCACTTGCAGGTGGCTTTGCTTTTACCTTCCGTCACGTTCATCCCAAACCAGCTCCATGGAGATCAGGTCTGGAGACTGTGCTGGTCTTCATCATGTGAAGCCTCCACCTGGTTCTGTTCTCCTAATGTTCTGTTTGTTTCAGCACTGCCTTTGTACAGACAGAGGGCCCTTCAGTCATCAACCTGTAGGAATTGTTTCATTAACTTTCAAGGCATTTACTTCCATTTCCTGTTTTCTATTTGTTTTCTTTTTTCTTTTTTTTTAAACCATGGTCAGTTTACCACTGACCTTTGTACCATTTAAGGTTTTCCTTTGGAAGTGAGCTGCTGAAATTTGAATAAAAACTGGAAAAATTGAGGTGTTCTCAAACTTTTGACCAGTACCATATTTTCCTCATAGAGCTATCTAAAATTCAAAGCCAGTTTCCTGCTGGAGGAAAAACAGTAGTTGTTTTTATTAATGGTTTATTATTGATGCATTCATTATTGAATTATTTAACATTACCAAAGAAATATGTCCCAAATGATGAACTCTTTCTAAATATTCCTGCTCAGAAAGTGGAACAGAACTCATCATTAACTGATATTCATGACAAATAATATTTCTGTGTTATAAAGCCAGACGTGAGATGGTTCTATAAACAGTAGAGACTGCATTAAAAAGAGAATTTAACTCCACATTAGTGATTTTTTATGTAAGTCTCTGTCAGTTGAGTTGCATTATTTATGCAGGATTTAAAGTCAAGGTTTTTATAGAAATTAAATAAAGACAATGAACTTGGTAAAAAAAAAAAAACCTTCTGCTGCTTCAATTTGTGAGTCTGGGAAAATATTCTGATGGTGAACTGATTTATTCTGGACAAACTCACTCAAGTGAGTTCATTAATATGCTCCATCACCTTTGGTTTTTAACTGGGAGAGAGCAGTGATTGGTCAGCAGGTCTGAGGGGTCTGGAGGTGGAGGGGACGAGCAGTTCAGTGTAACCTGGAGCCAGTCCACACAAAGCTTTAGAGACAAATGAAAAGTCTAGGAGGAAAAAGTCCAAAGAGGTGAAAACTCCAGCTACACTTTTGTTTGATTTTTTTTTGCCTATGTGTGTGTAGAGTACAAAGTGTACAATGACAAATCGAGTATGGGGGTCGGGGGTCGACTTTTTTCCCATGGCAAAAGGGAACCTTGTGCAGCACAGCCTTCAGTGAACTGAAGTGTTACGGTCCTCACGGTATCTTGCTTGTTTAACTTAAGCTGTCAACAAACGTAGGAGTGGAAGTATAAAGTAGCATAAAATGGAAATACTCAAATGAAGTATAAATACCTCAAAACTGTACTTTAGTACAGTACTTAGAGTAAATGTACTTAATTGCTTTCCACCACTGCTGATATAATTACTTGAATTGTTATATTTCATAGCTCTTCACTCTGTAGAGCTTATAGATCAAGCCACAGACCAAACAGGATATCGATTAAGAATCTCATATCTATACCTGTAACGAGAAGTAGTTCAGTTGGATTAGCTGACATGAAACCCTCTCCTCCTCTATAATCTGCTTTAGTTTTGAAATCTAGAAAAGAGCTTGGGTTGCTATATATGAATGCAAGGAGTCTGGTCTCTAAATTGGACTGTTAATATTCTGATCCAACAGGCAGATCCAGATATTTTAATCATCTCTGAGTCATGGCTAAAAAAAACTATTCCAGATGCTAATATACAGTAAGTGTTAATGGTTTTAACCTTTTTAGAGCAGACAGAAAAGGGAGAGGTGGTGTAGTAGCTATCTATGTTAAACATGTTTCATTGTATCAGTTGCTACTCCCCTCATCTGTCCCTTGAGAGTTTGAATGTCTGGCTCTGTCAGTAAATCTGGGGAAAAAACAACAGTGACAGTGATTAAGGCACATAGACCCCCCCCCCGGTGCTGATGATATTTTAGTAGATATATTTTCATTGATAGACATTATTCTCACTAATATGCCTCATAGATATTCATCCAGTGGATTTTTGCCCCAAGATTTTAGTGACCACTGCCCTATTGCCTGTGAAAATATGCAGAACAAAGACACAAATCATATCCAAAAGGAATTTCAGAAACTTAGACATTCAAGGGTTCCTGCATGAATTAAATATGTGTGACTTAGATAGAGTGACTCTCATATCTGACCCAGACCTGGCCCTAACTTATTTCTCCAGCACTTTTAATTCTATTGCAGACAAACATGCTCCCTTTAGGAGACTAAGGATTAAGGACAGACATATTCCCTGGTTCTCACCCGAACTATCTGTAGCAATTACTAAGAGGAACTTGGCATGGGCCAAAGCTAGAAGAACTGAGGCTGCTTCAGACTGCGTATTGATCAGGCAGTTACAAAATAAATCCACTGCTATGATCAGGAGAGCTACATCTACATATTATCTCAATTCCTTATACCTGAGTGCCGATAATCCAGCTAAATTCTGGAAAACAATTAAATCAGTGAAGAATAATTCTGCCACTGCACTTCCCCCTCAGTTACAGTGTGACTGTGGTTCCATAACTGATAAAATATAAATTCGTAATGCTTTTAATTCTCATTTTATTAAATATCTGTCAACAGAGTAATGAGCCCCCAAGTCGCAGGAATCCTCATAGTTTCTGTTTTAGTCCACTGTCTGAAACAGAGGTGAGAAATGCTCTTCTGAAGATAGACCCAAAAACGTCTACTGGTGCTGGTCAGCTTGACCACAGTCTTCTGAAGATAGCTGCTCCAGTCTTAGCTGGGCACCTAACATATATTTTTAACCTGTCTCTTAGCTCAGGAATTGTTCCTAAGATCTGGAAATCTGCACACATGTTTCCTCTTCATAAGGGAGGAGACTGTACTGATTTAAATAATTATTGTCCAATCTCCAAGCTCTCTTGTTTAGCCAAGACCCTTGAATCTTAAGTTAATTGTCGGCTTAATTCATTCTTAAAGAGAAATAGCATTTTAAATACTTTTCAGTCTGGTTTTAGATCTGGTCATAGTACCATTTCAGCTGCATCTCTTGTTCTCAATGATATTATATGTTGTCTTGGCAATGGACAGTACTGTGCTGCCTTGTTCATTGATCTGTCCAAAGCCATTGATACAGTTGACCATTTACTTTTAATAGATAAACTAGCCTCTGCTGGCCTGGATCAGATTGCCTGCCAATGGTTCACAAGTTATCCTGCAGAGAGAACACAACGTATTGCTGCAGACTCTACACGTTCCACTACTTGGAAAGTCACTAAAGGCGTACCACAGGGTTAAATTTTAGAGCCCTTACTTTTAACCTTATATATTAATGATATTGCCTCATTCTATAATGGCTGTAAGGTGCATTTTTATGCTCACATCATTGTGCTTTATTCATTTGCACCCACATTGAGGGGAGCCAGATATACTTTGCAGACAGCTTTTGAATCAATCCAACATTCACTCTTACAGCTTAAACTTTTTCTTTAAATGTTTCAAAAACAAAATATAATTAAATTTACAAGATTGCACTCCTGGAAGGAAATTTGTTTCAATATTTGCAAGTTGGATGGTTATAAAATTGAAAAAGTGTCCTCCTATAAGTACATTGGGGTATTTATTGATGAAATGCTCTCCTTTAAACCTCATGCTGAGGCGCTAGCTAAGAAGTTAAGGAT